ATGATCTACTGGTAGTCTCAAAAATCAACCTATAAATTAAAAATTGTTTTAGAAGTTGTTTGACCTTGTTTTATCAATTCGGTCGTATTATCAGATCAAACTAAATGAACACTAATTTCTATAGTTAGACGTTGGGCTTAGTACATTCCCAGACGTTTTGCCGGCATCTTAGTCTGCATCGTCAATGAGCTTTGCCAATCCTAGCACCACATTAAAACTCGTCGAAGATAAAAATGAGATGGATACTTTGAACGATTTTCTGTTGAACGGTTGTGGTAGCTTGCCTTCTGTCCTGGTGCATTCAGGTTTCCTATATCCTCATATCAGCCCTTCCCATCACAATTTCTTACTCACTTATATAAACCCAGTTGAGGGGTGTCCTTTTGAGCTAATCCATTGAGTCCTATTCACACTTCTCGCTAGTTCCCTCATGCCCTCACTATGCTAGGAATGTTGATCCGAGTCTGTCATTTTAGTCCCCAATCCTCTTAATCTAGAATATATAAGGGTCTTACTCTTGCTTCGTAGGATCTGTCTTACCTTCCTAGTTCAGTGCTTTTTACTCGATCACTGTCACCAAATCTGTGCTACTCGAAGCATTATGTTATATATTCTGCATCAAGCCTTTGATCGCACGTAAACGCCAGTCTCACGCCCCCAAATTCGGAATACTCAAGTAGCATGGAAACTTAACTTGACCCTGCTCATTGACATATCACTGTTCAGCATGAGCATAAGGCCTGGTCAATGGCTATTTTATGCCTTCCTTTCTTGTATGCCGACTCCCAAATGTGATAGTTCTACTTGATTTTGAATAGGCATATTATACCTGTCTCCTTCATCTCCGATTTACTCAAATTGAAAATGCTTCTTTGATATAGTCGTCTTCTTTTGCTGATCTTACTGTTACCTGATCTCCTCCGAGTTTGTTTAGGCAGTATGCTTATTTTTCACTAATAATATCTTAATTAAGTCTCCTGTTCATTAGATTTCTTTCAATCAGAATAACGATGGCCTCTCGAATCTTGCATCTCCTTGTATTTTTACCATATGCAGTCAGCCTTTCCGTCGATTTCCAGTCGATTTCGCGTCCCGTTGTGCAATGATTGCCGCTATTTCGTATCTTTCTGTATCCATGTTTCTGCTTAGTCTTCGGTGTCCCTTGCTTTGTAAGCTGATTTTTCTTCCTGTTCCACCTATATACTTCTTATAGTTTCCACATTTAATGCGATATACACCCGATAATCCAGTTTTTCAACCCTCTCTTGTTTTGTTGGCAAACTAATTAAGAATATTTTATTCTTCTTCTTCATGATAACCTTTATATTTTATTTCCTTAGTAACATTTGTAATTTTTGACTCAGCTCAAAGTAGTACAAACATATCTAATTTTAATCGTCCTCCCGATTCCCTCTTCCATTTTCATAATATTGATGTTGTCATCGGTGATTTATGATCGCTCTATTTATTCCTTTGAATTATCTGAAGTGCTCGTTACTAACGTAAATCCAATTCCCTTTATTCACTTCCTCGTCCCACAACTTCATGTCTGTTATTCTTAAGCCTTTGATAATCAAACCCCTCATTATTTCTATGTTTAATCTATAGTTCTGATGAGAATGGAAGTTAAGGCTTATTCCTGCACGAGATTTCTTTCTGAACCGTCTCCTTTTCAGTCTTCCTTTATATACTCAAAACGCAAGAAAGTCCGTCACCCATTCTCATCTACTTTCATTGTTCATTTAATTTTTTCATCATGTTTGCCTATAAAGTTAAGGAATTTATCAAAATTTTCCTTATAATGTGATTATATTTTAACTTAGTCATCGAGGTATCGCATAATCACTTTTGTTCATAGTGGTGACTTCTCTAATTTATTTTTCAATTTGCCCATGTATACCTTTGCCAAAAGAGATTAAAAGCGGATATTCCATAGGCGTTCCAAATATGTGTGATATATATTGTCGTTAAGTCTAAAATATGTAGTAGTTAATATCAGATTGATCATTCATATTAACGATGCCTTCTGTATCCGCTCTGCTCCCAGGATATCCTCCTCTCTTTCCAAGATCTCCAGCAGGACGGTGACTGCCTTCTCGCCTGAGATCTTTGTGTACATAGTTTGTGCGTCAAAACTTACCAACCGTTTCGTCTCTGTCAGTTCAATGTCTGGGATCCTTTGAGAAAATGCATTAAGGTTCTTTACGGTGTACGAGTCTATCATTAATTTTTTAGAGTTTAAAGCTTATGAATTTTGCTAGCTATTGTATGTTATTGACTATTAGCCTTTCTTGTGCATCTTCGGTAGTCTCTAGGCTGAAGGTGATTTTGCGTCATTTTAATTAAATAATTCATCGACCGACAGTAGATATCTGCGTTGCCATGAATTTCATTTAGTATACTCTTCACTATATTATTCATCTTCATACTTGGATACTTTCTTAGTATTTAATAAATTTTCTGGTCGCCTAGCATATTTTCTTTTATCTTCCTGTATTGTTTTCTACCAATTACCACCGTCGCTCCTACCCTATCTTTCGGAACGAGTATTTGGTCAGTCTAACGTAATTTTATGTATATCTTCACCAATCCGCTACTGTACCAAGATTCTCAGGGCTGATTCCATTTCTATCTTCCGTTTGATTTCTTTCTTCGCGATGTTCACAACCTCCACAAGTATATCTTTCAGAACCTTTCTTTCGTTGCATAGGAAACAATTTGACCTTTTCATGAGATCCATGATTCTGGAGTCAAGAGGGACTGAAGATAAGTTTACTACCTTACCCCCATCGCCTTGTGGATCAGTGGATGATGTCAATCCAGAAACATCATAATTTAGTTGGCTGGCTTGATCCAGCGCTGTCTTACTATCCCATGTCTAAGCAATTTTTTGTCATTTCTCCTATTTATCAAATTCCGGACCCTATGTGACTTCTGGTCAGTCATATTCCTGAGTTCCTGGAAATCCCCCGGAGTGATAATCCTGCCTAGATCCTTCATAAATTTAAATCAAATATCTATTAACTTAATTAGCTTACTCCTCTTAATATCTCAACTTTTCTCCAATTTCTGGATGGAGTGATGAAGTATTTCATTGACTGTGTCAGAGTGACACTTCCTCATTGGATTTCAGAACCGGGGAGCGATACTATAATGTTTGCAGCAATTTGAAAAGGTCAAATGGCATGATTGACTTACAATTGTCTTCGTCCGGCTGTAATCGGTGCATTGTTTACCATTCTTACTTCTATACTTTTATCGATGGTATGAAGGCCAAGATTATGTGGCTTTTATTATGATCACGGTCTTATTTCATTGTATGGACGTTGCTTGACCTTGTTTTCACAGCTTGGTCGTATTACAAGTGAGACTTAGAAGAGTAGAATTTGATAATTTCCAGAATTGGACCATGGACTTAATACATTCGCTTCGCCGGCATCGTCAATGAGCCTTGCCATTCCTAGCACAACACTATAACTTTTCAAAGAGACAAGTGCAGTTGATCCTTTGGCCAATTGTCTCCTGAACGATTGTGGTTTCTCTCCTGCCCTGGTGCAATTACCCTTTCTGTATTCTTGTATTACCCTTTCACTATCACGATTTTAAATGTTCTTTTTCGAACGGATTTAGTGAGACCTATTTGCACTTCCCGCTGGTTCCCTCGCTTCTTCGTCGTGTTGGGAATATTGATCCAAGTCTGTTCTTCTAGTTCGCAATCCTTTTTATTTAAATCTAAAAATTATCATGGATACTATGGAGTCTAAGCAATGTGTGCTCTAGGTCACCCTGACAATACGATCAAGTTAAAAAAATAAAGTCAAACAAATTCTATATAACGAAAGTGGACAGGGACCGTATTAAAGTCAACATCATTTTGGTTTTCTACTTTCGAAAGATACTTATGCATAGTTGATAGACTTTAGTATGTGAGTTGATCCTTGTAAAAGAAGGCGACTGAACTAATATACTCGACTTATGCTGTAATTTATGTAATACTGCTACGCTTAGGTTAAGAAAACTAATTTACTCAGTTTTATGACTGTCCGGTATTACGCAATAGTAGTTGTGCGCATTTTATTGGGTCAAAAGATGGCAATAATATCTTGATGATCAGAATACAGAAATTTCTGCTCTGTTACGATTTATTGGGCTATCATTTTTTCTAATGTCCGCACATGTATATATGTACACACAAACGCATACATGCGCCACATTTATACATTTATAGAGTCAGATATCGTAAGAAAATAGATAAAATAACTTAAAACTAACCCATATCTAAAGTTATTTGAGGTGTTTTATGAGTACCTATGGCAAAAAAAGACCATTTGGTTAGTTTCGTAAACTTGTTTGTGCTTGAATGCATCCTCGTTCTGACGATGTCTGTCATTTGGCTGATTCAATCTCAGCACGCTTACATCTCAGCCTAAGGAGGGTGTCACAGTCTGTCATTTGGCAGGATTTACCTACGAATCTTTGCACTTTCACCCTAAATTGAAATCAAGCTGACACTGTTAATTAATCATGTCACTGTGTTTTCTTTCGTTGTCTCCATTTAATTCAACTAAATAGTTCCATTTTTCATAAATGCACTCTAAACAATCTTCTAGATGCCCCTGGCGTTCCACGCAATTTCCAGGGTCAAGTGGATAAGGATGGTAGGGTCCAGCTCAATTGGCAAGCGCCCAGTTTTGACGGTGGCGCGCCTATTACAAAATATGTCGTCGAGAGGGGTCATCAGGCTGGGCGCTCTGGTGAGTGGACTGAAATCACACTTCCAGACTCTACCAACACCAACCGTCTGTTGATCAATATGCGAGGTAAGGCATTTACCGCCCTCATAACTCCTTTACGCGCTTTGTATCCTATCCATATAGAGATCACTTTTCATATTTGACATAAATTTCAGAAATTTTCACTCTGTCGTTTGACACAACGTTATTTGCATACATTTTTGCATTTTTCTTTATTCCAGAGGGCGTTTATC